ATTGTACAGTGGCAAAATGTAGGTACACCTCTGCCTATCCCTTCGGGGATTAAAAAGCGTTATGTTATGAATTGCTAAAATATATTATTAAGTAATATTACCTGTCTAGCGTACTCCATGCGATACCATTGGCGCAAATCGTGTAACAAATCAGCCATAGCAAATATTTGATGGCGTAACGCAACCTAAATCTACATCAGAGGTGTTAAACTAAAGTTAAGTTTGTCATTTTAAACGGGGGCTTGGTTTAAAGTTCATCCTTTCGTACGGCTAGCTTTAGAGGTATAATACAGTGTCATAAAAGGAAATGTCACTACTTACATATTTAAACAACGTTTACAATCCTTCCAAGGATTAATGGATAATTTATATCCTTGGGAAGTTCTCTTTAGCTTTGTGGTGAACTACTAAAGTGGTGGGTTCGATGCTTGGATTAAGTGAAGTGTAGATGAAGGTTAAGAGTACTGATATTTTAGGGCTTAATTTTGCTTTTGTTTAATCGAATGTGGTGACAACCGAGCAGACGGTTCCTCTGATACCAAAGCAATCAGAGCGCCGTCCAATGCCACCCACTACACTCGAGAAGTCACAAGTGCATTGCATCATCATAAGCGTATAGTACCCATTGCTAACCAAAGGCCTCTTCTAACAAGAAGAAGGTTAAAGCATTAATCACCACACTTGCTCAAGGGAGATTGGCGATTTCAAACTTATATGATATTTATAAGTCCAGGTTTCTTCACGATGTTTTCCTTCACTGTCTGTCAGTGGCGTCTAAATATTCGTAGGAAGTACTCGGAAAAAGTTACATTAGTACTAGCTGCACTTTCATGCACGAGATGCACCTTAACCTACGGGATACCACGACAGATTTCAATTGATTTAATCTAATTATTCGCACTAGATCGAAACCTAGACTCGTGAGAAAAAATCCCACGTGGGTGAAGCAAGCGATAATTGATTTTTCTACCTCCTAATTACACGACTAATTGTTAATACAATGTAAAACACAAAGGCTTCGTCAATAAAATCATTCTTAGAAGGCTAAACAAAGACAAATAATTAATTAATAATTGACATTGTTGTCTTGGTGGCTATAAAAAGAAGGCTATATTATTATAATCTTTGACAAATTGATTAATTATTAAAGGTTTAAGCACAAAGTAAGTCAGACAGTCGATTGGATTAGATCATATCACAGCACCACACCTCGTCATCACAAAGACTATTGGCTTCCATTTTTTTATATTTGATGGGGCGACGTTTGACCACTATCTCGCCTGGTGGTAAGTGATGATGCGGTCTACGATGGAGCACGTCATCTCATAAGCAAGCTATTCACTCGGGCCTTGAAGACTCCTAGGTTATACCCTTCAGGAAATACAGACTCTGGCAAAGAATCCACTCTTTAGCAGTACTCACAAGGAAGCTTGAAGCGCTTCGTGCGTGTAGGCGGAACATCTACCATGAATCAGTGACGCTTCGCCGATTGTCTTGTGGTACGATGGTGGGAAGGACTAGGGGGAATCAAGTTGTGCAATTCCCCCGCACACTCACCGCTTCCTTTTTTATGGTATATGCCGTCTATCTTTTTTAAACTGTAAACTGCGGTCTATCTTTTTTTTAAGAGGTGAAAATCATCGAATGTCTGCTCCCGCCTGGGTGACGCGGGAGGGAGTGTCAGACTCTTACTGACTAAAAACACCCAGTTCCTTCTCCTGCACGTCGAGCAGACGGATCACCTGATGGTAAGCAATCGGCGTCGTCCATGGACACCTGAAAAACAAGAGGCGTTACAAATGCGTTACCGGTATTTTCGGGATTAGGAATTTGAAGATTGTTAAGAGTTCACGGATTAAGGAGGTTGAGGAGTAGGGGGGGGGGGTAATTGGGACTCTGGTAACCTCATTCAAACCACAAAATACGATGCAAGCGTTGTTTCACGTTGGGTTTCTATAAGGCCGTGGTATGACTCCGGTCGAGCCGGCCCATTCGTGCCGAAGCATGGCTCTCTCACAGTTAAAAACTTCTTTCTTTAAATTCCTTTACAAAAGAGGAGTTTTCCAGCATCTTGACATATTCAACAGCTCATGACAGTCCACTGAGAAACAATAGGTACTTATTTACATTGGACAGGTTTTCCATAACTTCTGGGAAGTATGCAGATTATAGTTTAAAGGATATGATTTCTCAAACATCACTGCTGCACAGTCTCGTCGGCTCTTACGCGGCAAGTATATATTAATACTAATGTATTTCACTCTATCGGCATTACACAGCAATGGTTTTAGAGTATAAAGGATGTAAACATGCATAGGTAGGTAATGTACAGTATTTGAAATGACAGCCGATGACTATAGAAACCACGAAGATGATACCCATGACGACAAGTTAAACATTTCGTGCAGCCGCCATTTTGGATTTACTTTTTGACAGCACCATCAGTTTTAATTCCCTCAAAAATCACGAAAATGACACCCATTTTTTTTTCTTCTTTGGCAACCGAGTGTAAGGTTGGGTGTTTGGATGAGTGTAATGAAACCAACGAGCTCCGAGAATACACTGAATATATTGAATATAGGATGCTTAATATATATCTTACGACTACTACACCACACCTTCCCCTTTATTAAAAAATAATAATAAAATACATGATTATTATTATTTT